ATACTGCAGATGGAAGATCAGCCTGTTAAGCTATCATACCCTTAAACAAAAAAAGATTTACTGTATTTATTTGAAAGACAGAGTTACAAAAAATAGAAGGAGACAAATATCTCCCATCTACTAGTTCACTCCCCAGTTGGCCAGAATGAATTTCTTTTCTTTTAATTTTATGAACATTTATTTACTTCTATTGCATAGGCAGATATTTAGAAAGAAGAAAAGACAAAGAGAAAGATCATTCATTTGCTGGTTCACTCCTCAATCACTCCTCAAGTGGTTGCAATGGCTGGAGCTGAGCTGATCCAAACCCAGGAGCCAGAAATTTCTTTCAGGTTCACCACATGCGTGCATGGCTCCGAGGACTTGCGCCCTTTCTCATTGCTCTCCCAGGCTTTGAGCAGAAACCTGGATTGGAAGTGAGCAGTTGGGGTATAAACCAGAGGCCAAAAGGGACACTAGCGTGTGCAGGTGGAGAGTAAAACTGTTGAGCCACTGCACTGGCCCCACAAGCATTTGTTTTCAAAATTGATCTGTTCTTACCATTATTTTACTTAAAAGATTCATTCTATTTTAAAAGCTACACCAAAACATCATACCAGATAACAATCCAGCAAAAAAACACAGTTTTATAACACATTAATGAAAGGACTACCTAAATAAAAGGACATAATTTGGATATCCAAAGATAAACAAGTGAAGGGCAAAGAAAAGTCATGATGTGTGCTGTCTCCTTGGAGACATACTGTCTGGAGAGGGTCCTGCAAGAGTTGTAGATGCACAATTACACAGATCTGATCAGAATATGGGGTCAAGGCAGGGAGAAAACAGGGAAGCAAGACTCTTCCTCCACTGCTACTTCAGTAATCTTTACCCTCCTGGATCTTGCCCCTGCCCACGTAAAATCGGAAGCTAGCCAACTAAGGTGCCCAGTGATGCATCCCTCTGGAGAGGATCTCCCGGAACACTGCACAGTTCATGGAAGGGCTTAGCCTGCACTGGCATAGAAGATACATGAAAAACATAGTATAATCATCTGGGTATGTTTTGGAGGAAGAAAATAAAACTATATTATTATTTATATGTGTAAATATATTACCTTTATTATTATTTTACTATTTTTAGCCATCTTAATGGCATCAACCTATGACACATGCAGTAGTGATTCTATTCAGACTTTTGTCTTTGATATTTTGAAACCAAATCACTTGTAGCTTATTGGATTACACAATAGTTTAAGGTTGTTTAACATCACATGATAGGTATCTTAAAATCTCCACAACGCATTATATATTTTCTGCTTACAAAAATCCTTATGTGTTACAGAAATCTGTACTCCTTTCTTCATGACCTTTGCTTTAATTGCTTTATTATAAATAATTCATTGAATGTGTTTCTGATGAGTTGATACTACCATAGCTTTATTTCTGAATTTCTCTTTTCAAAGTTGATATTAAACATTAAAATATGTGAAAAGAAATATTATTAAGTATAATAAAATAAAAATGTAAGGCCCCCAATTCAATAAAGTTTGATAAATATACAGACCTTTAAAACTGGCTTCATAGTTCAAATATACTTTTCTTGCAATAACTAATTCCCTTAAATCTTTTTCTGTCAGTTCCCATATTCTAGTCCCCAAGTACCTACTAATTCAGATTTTCACACAATTGTAATCACACTTATAAACTCTTTTATGCCTGGTTCTTTTGCTAGCATAATGTGTTAAGATCCAAGCATATTGGGTCAGGCAGCATGGCCTAGTGGCTAAAGTCCTCGCCTTGAACGCCCAGGATCCCATGTGGGCGCCAGTTCTAATCCTGGCACCTCCACTTCCCATCCAGCTCCCTGCTTGTGGTCTGGGAAAGCAGTCAAGGACAGCCCAAAGCCTTGGGACCCTGCACCCGCGTGGGAGACCTGGAAGAAGTTCCTGGCACGTGGCTTTGGATCAGCGCAGCACCGGCCATTGCGCTCACTTGAGGAGTGAATCATCGGATGGAAGATCTTCCTCTCTGTCTCTCCTCCTCTCTATATATCTGACTTTGTAATAAAAATAAAATAAATCTTTGGAAAAAAAAGATCCAAGCATATTATTGCACTTATCAGTAGTTCGTTGTTTTTTCTGCTTAATGGTATTCCATTAAATGAATGCAGAACTAGGAACCCTCACAACCTATTTATATGTTCATCTATCTATGCCTTTTTTCAGGTTTTTGAATATTGTAACCAATACTTATATGAACATTTGTACCACACATCTTTGTATGGACACTATTTTTCTTTGGGTACTTAAAGGGAGTATTGCTAAGTTGAATAGCATTATTTACATTATAATGAGCTAATAAACTGTTTTTCAAAGTTATTGAAAAATGAAAGTTGTTTGCATTTCATTAACCATATAGCAGGGTTCCAATTGTTTTGTAACCTTGGCAATATGTGGTATTGTCAGTTTCATATAATGTTAGCCATTTTACCGCATGGTACCTTATTGTGACTCCAATTTTCCACTTTAGTAATCTTGTTATGTGGGATAAAACACCCTTAAATATGTAGTTTTCCATAGAAAATGTTACTTTGGAATCTGCAGTTTGGTTAGGACTCAGATAGAGTGTGTTCATGGAGTGAGGGTGTGGACTGGGAGTTATTTCTGTTCCACTTGCTGTCCAACCAAGACATTTCAAAGGCTAGAGATGGTAACAATCTCACTTCATGGGTCTGACAGTTGATGACTGTCAGCTGGGAGCCTTAGTTCTACCCCAAATGCTGGTTTTTGTGTGGTTTGTCTATAAGGCCCAAAAGATATGATATTCATATCCATTGAACATGACATAGACAAAATGCAACTTAAAATGTAAATGTGAATGTAAATATGAATGACTGATACACATGTGTTCACACTTTGGTAATCAAATAAAGTTATACTTGGTACTAGAAGGTTTGGCTACCCGAAGTGTAGTAGAAGAAATCAATCTTTAAACTTACCGCAAACTGAATGAGTGGGCACCATGTGATTTGAACAATGAAAACGCAAATTTTGCAATTGATTTACTTTTCAAATACTTTTTACAGTTCTCCCTCTTTGAGTTTTTAAATATTTATGTATTTATTTATTTTTGAAAGTCATAGTTTTAAGAGAAAGAAAGAAAACAGCCAGGTTTGGGTCAGGCTGAAGCCAGAAGCCAGGAGGTCCTTCTTGTTCTTTTATCTGATGTCAGGGGCTCAAGCAGGTGGATCACATTCTGCTTTCTCAGACCATTAACAGGGAACTAGAACAGAAGCAGAGCAGCAGGGACACTAACCAGCACCCATAGGGAATGCCAGCCTGGCACACAGTGGCTTTACATACTATGCCACAATAATCTAATCCCTTGAAATATTCCTAAGATTCTCCCTATTAATCAACATGACTGAGATAATTATCTAAATTCCCTTAAAAGCCAAAGAGGGCTGAATGTTACCTACGAGGTTAGGAAAGAGTAAAGAACTTGAATCTGTTTTGATTATTTAGAAAAACTGACACATTAATAACAAACTATGCAATTTTTTTTATTCTTTGTCCATTTAAATTTTCTCTCTTTTGAGGAGAGCTTGAATATTTTGTTATGTTTATAAGCATAATATAAAAGGCTTCGGGATATGTTAAGAGATGAGAACTCCTGGGAATGCTCCGTTTACATCAGCTCTCAGGACTTCATTTATTTTTAACTTCTTATTAGGAAAATCTGCTCTTCAAGTCCTAGGAGATTTTTAGGTTTGTGTCTCTGAAACAAACAGTTGGCAACGTGCTATGGAAAACAAATATTAGTCTGAGTTCCCAGGAATAAAGATGCAGTGATGCCTGATGGGATTTGAGCTTTTAGTCTGCAGATCCACCACACTTCACTCAGTTCTTGATGTTGCTCTCCAGTAACCCTGCTCTTCTCTGCACTCACCTCCGCTCATTCCGGCAGGTGAGAGCAAGAATTCTGACCTGGGCCACAATTCTGCAATCGTTTCTGCATGGTTGATAAGGAGCAAGCTCGTCAACCCTGCTTTTCTCCCTCCCTGCCCGCTTTGGACTATCTGTAGCTCTTTGTTTCTAACTCAGTACTGAAATGCTGCTCCAGAGTGTTAGACACGCCAGGGAGCACTCAATGGACTTAGTCACTATCAGTAGCTGGGCTGAGATCACATGACTGAAGAATGCAGCTCAAGCATTTCATCTTTGTCTCCGAGCTTCTCTCTGAAAGCACAGCCTAATGAAGCAAGGCACAAAAGCAGGAAAAGTGGGGGGCGAGGAGGGGCGGGAAGCAACTTTGTTGCACTAGCTCATATTTTAAATTTTCTAAATTTAAACTCAATGGTAGTTCATTTTTTTAAAAAATTTTTATTGTAAAATTAGGTATACAGAGAAGAGGAGACAGAGAGGAAGATCAGCTGATTCATCTCCTGATGGCCGCGATGGCCGGACCTGAGCCAATAAAAAGATACTTTTTTAATAAAACAGCAAGAGCTAATATATTCAATTTAATTATTTAATTCTCAAAATTATATAGGACTCTCCTACTGCATTAAGGACAAATTTGCATTGAGCTTTGTGCGTGTGTGTGTGTGAGTGTGAACTCACATATTTTGAAATCTAAAAGCTGATCCATTATTTCTTAAGTAAACCAGTTTGTCACATCTACAGATGTTCATGTAGTAAATTAGAAGTATTTCTTGAGAAAGTAATTAAATTGAAGCAAAAATAAAAAATTGTCAGAACAATTTACCAACGTTTACACTGGGATTAGTCAAGAAGCCATGATATTCAGACTAATGACAAGATCAAGCAAGGAAAAACATGCTTAAAAGCTATCTCAAGTTTCATAAACAACAATACGTACCTTAATGCTAACCAACACTGAGTGAGGAGCAGAGGGAAGCCAGTAGTCCAGGAAAATTCACTTGTTAATATCTATTTGTTTATGATGGTTGTGAACCAAGGATTCAAAAATGTTTCTATTCTCTTTCTGATGACAGGTAAACAAGCATACACATCAATGGGAGAAGGAAATCAAACTTCTGTGGCTGAATTTATTTTATTGGGGCTTTCACAAGATCCAAAGATCCAGATCTTATTGTTCAATGCTTTCCTAGTTATTTACCTTATATCTATATTCGGAAATTTGCTGATTATCATCCTTATCCAAATTGACTCTCGACTTCACACACCGATGTATTTTTTTCTTAAAAACTTGTCCTTTGCTGACCTCTGTTTCTCTACCAGCATTGTACCCCAGATGTTGATCCACTTTCTTGTGGAAAAGAAAAGCATCTCCTTTGCTGGCTGCTCAACACAGATAGTTGTCTTTCTCCTAGCAGGGTGTACAGAGTGTGCGCTGCTGGCAGTGATGTCCTATGACCGATATGTGGCTGTCTGCAAGCCCCTCCACTATTCCACAATAATGACCCAGAGGGTTTGTATCCAGTTGGCCATAGTATCCTGGGTCAGTGGGGTGTTTGTGTGTGCAGTAGACAGTGCATTTACACTGTGTCTTCCCTACCAGGGACAGAATGTAATTAATCACTACTTCTGTGAACCACCTGCTCTCTTAAAGCTTGCATCAGCAGACACTTACCGTGCTGAAATGGCCCTCTTTTCTATGGGCGTGGTGATCCTCCTAGCTCCTGTCTCCCTCATTCTAGTCTCCTACTGGAACATCATCTCCACTGTGATCCGGATGCAGTCTGGCGAGGGGAGGCTCAAGGTCTTCTCCACCTGTGGTTCCCACCTCACAGTCGTGGTTTTTTACTATGGCTCAGGAATATTTGCCTACATGAGACCTAATTCCAAGACAATGAGTCATAAGGATAAAGTCATCTCCGTGTTCTATTCTGTTATGACTTCCATGCTGAACCCGATCATTTACAGCCTGAGAAACAAAGACGTGAAGGGGGCTCTGAAGAAGCTGGCTGGGAAATAGTCTGACTTTGGAGCAATTATTCCTGACATTTTGAAAAGTATTTGGAATATTGTGATTGATAATGTAGCTTTAACATCTTCATCCTTCCTTACCTTTCTCTGCTGTATTTCTCAGCTTGATTTCTTCTACATTCATTAAATGACTGTTCTCTGCAAGCACTATGCACGCCCAAACTAAAACTCAGTACCTTCCCTACAAAACAAAACCGAGCAACAACAAATTGGCCCTCATGGCCAATGTAGTGACACAGCAGCTTAAACTGTGATTTGTGTTGCCAGATTTGGAGTGCTGGTTACGGTTCTGGCTGCACTGCCTCTGATTCAATTTTCTGATAATTCACTGAGAAAGCAGTTGAAGATGGCACAGGTATTTGATGCCCTGCAACATATATGGGAGACCCAGATGGAAATCCAGAGACTTTTACCTGTCCCAGAGCTCGGCCATGTAGTCATCTGGAAACTCAACTAGCACTTGGAAGCACGCTCCCTCTCTCTTTCTTGTTCTCTCCCTTCCCCCCACACCTCTCTTTCTCTCTCTCCACTCCTCCTTCTCTCTCATCCTCTGTCATTCTACCTTTTAAACAAACAAATTAATAAATCTTAAAAACTGGCTATCAACTAGCAGGACAACACAAATGTACAGATAATTATTTTTGAATTTGATAGAGTGGTATTTTAAGATAAAATAAAAGAAAATATTGTGGGGTTAAAATGAAAAGGAATTTTTAAAAAGATTTTGAACATTTCATGTGGATTACTATATTGAGGAAGGATTGCTTTATTAGTCTAATGTATCAATTTTACAAGCAGCAATGGGCAACACAGATCCCTAAATGTCACCACAATACGAACAAAACCACAGAAGGGGTCGTGGAGTGTGCATCAGTAGGAATGGGATATGCAGCAGGAAACAAAGCTTATAAATTAATGAGCTGTACCACACTCTACAGTCTTACATACAGGATGAATCCATTTTCTCTAATCAACAGATTTAAGAATAATCTGGAATTTCACTTTAGAGCTTCATTCTGAATGACATTACTGAATTCAAATATTATTCTTGGCTATTTGTGTGTTCACAGAGTCACAATTATTTAAAGTGCTTATGCTCTAGACATTCTACTAAAGATATAAGATCTGTGATGTTCAGCTTCTAAAAATTTTTTTTATCTTTTAGTTTCTAGTTTCAAGGAATCTGGTTGTTCATGATTGTCTATATATGCTGTTCTTTTCTCTGTAATTTTATCAATTAGCATACTCATTGTGTCCTTTGCTTTAAAATATTTGTGAGGTCTATTATTTCTATTTTTAGCATTGCAAATACTCACATTTGTACATCCCAAGTAATTTAGAACTCTCTTTGATCTGGAAATAAAACATTTAGTTTGACAGGTCACTCACATGGTTGATGTTACATTGTACACTAAGACATAACAAATTGAAATTATAACTAAGTGTGAATAGTATGTTAGAAGGATTGAGTGATAGAACTAATTAAGACTTGGCCAACCTTGCTTAATAGTGAGAAGCTAGTGATGACATTGTCAAAGAATTGAATAATTAGCACAGGTTAGATAGGATGGGAGCAGAAAGAGTCATATCAAACATGGAAAAACAGAAAAGAACAGGCTCTTTAGTGCAGCTAAAGAAAGATTTTCAATGGGTGATGACTGTAATATAAAACTAAAGAGGCAGATGGGAGATGTTTGACACAGCAGTTAAGACTTCACTTGGAATGCCCACATCCTAAATCAGACTGCAGTGTTTACGCCTGTGTTCTGGCCCCACTCCCAATTCAAGCTTCCATTCCAGGAGGGAATAGCTACAATAGGAACAAAAGCACAGAAGTATATGTTTACACTACATGTACGAGAAAGATACTCATCCTAACAGTCAGTAAATTCCAGGTGCTACAATATGGCTTTTGGAGGTTTTGTTACTTAAGATAAAAGGGGACATACTCTTTTCTCATGTAATGAAGAATATGAATTGTAACCAAGGGTTACATGAGTTGTAACATGAGTTACAACCAATATGGGTTGTAACTTGATAGTTATAACCAAGGTGTCACTCTCCATCAGCCTTAAACTTTATTTCCTTTATTTCCTAGAAGAGTTGAATGTATAATGATTATAAATAACCTATCACACATCTCAATATACAACCTCCCTAGAGTTGTAGCACCTCAGTTTAGGATTTGGAGCCATTTCACAAATAATATTTTATTTTTAGACTATAGGTGATTTTTCCTATTCTATTCATTATTAAAATATTTACTTATTTTTTAGTGGAAAGGAAGATTTACAGAAAACAGGAAAGACAGAGAGAAAGATCTTCGATCCTTTTTGGGTTATTCTGTAAGTGGTAGCCGGAGCTGGATCAATCCAAAAACAGGAGCCAGGAGCTTCTTCCAGATGTCCCACACAGGTGTAGGAACCCACGGTTTTGGGCCATCCTCTGCTGCTTTGCCAGGTCACATAGAGGGAGCTGGATGGGAAGTGGAGCAGCCTGGAAACAAACTGGTGCCCATTTGGGATGCCAGCTCTTACAGCAGAGGATTAGTCAATTGAGCTATTGCACCTGCCCTTTCCACTCTAGTCTATTTTTGTAGGTTAAATAGGCCTACTCCTTTTCTGTTTCCCTTTCTTTTCAGTTTTCTGAAAATGTAATTTACTCAAATATTTGCTCACAATGAGATTTTTAAAAGAAACTCAGTTTAAGAAACACTGGTTTGTAATTGTTTTCCCTTGGATGCAAATCGCCTTAAAATGCACACTAACTCAGCCCAAATCCCTTTTGTTCCCTGAACACTTTGTTGTCTTGGTCTCTTGTTAAAAAGGGAAGAGAAAATGTTCTTCTTTGAGTAGCTAAGGGTTGCATTCTAGTCCCAGTCTAGCCCAGGAGGATGGATGAAATGATGAACTTCAGGAAAAAAAATCGGGAAGATGTTCCTTCTTGGAACTGACTATTGAAGAAAGGTGTCTGTGTAAATAAGTAACAGTTCTTTCTCAAAGACCCCTAACTGAAATAGCCACCATGTTTGACTCAGCGAATTGCTTACTTTGGCTCCTAAAAATCTGCTTGCTAGCCAAAATTGCAATATAAGAGAACCAGATTGTGATTTTTTTTTCCTTTAAAAAGCCCTATTTGAGGAGCCCTGTGTGGTAGCCTAGTGGCTAAAGTCCTACCCTTGTACATACCAGGGTCCCATATAGGCAATGGTTTCTGTCTCAACTGCTCTACTTCCCATCCAGCACCCTGTTTGTGGCCTGGGAAGGCAGTTGAGGACCGCCCAAACCCTCAGGACCCTATACTTGCATGGGGGACCCAGAGGAGGCTCCTGGCTCCTGGCTTTGGATGGAATCAGTTTGGGCTGTTGCAGCCACTTGGGGAGTGAATGAGCAAACAGAAGATCTTCCTCTATGTCTCTCCTCTTTTCTGTACATCTGACTTTCCAATAAAATAAATCTTAAAAAAAAATTAGGATTTAGGCAGGGGTTTCTTCCCTCTGCTGTGTTGGGTCGCATGGAGAATCCCGCTGGCCAGTGAATAAGCAAACTGTCCCACTAAGTCAGTCCCTGATTCTTATGGGTTAGGTTTGTCTTGCACATCACAACATTAAGCTTCATTAGAAGACAGATCTGTTTTCTGATCTAGGAGATCTCTTCATTCTAACATTAAATATAAACAATACTTGGCTAAAATCATTTAGTCTTATCAAAGTTTCAATACTTCTAACTTTGCAACTAAAGTTGTGCTGCTTTAAATGTAGCATTTTAGTTATAGAATTGGTGGATTTTTTCTAGTTTGCCTTTTAACTTCTTATTTTAAAATACTTATTTTACTTTTTTTGTTGTTCAAAAGGCAGAGTTACAGAGCAGCAGAAAGCTATCTTGTATCTACTGATTCCCTCCTCAAATAGTTACAGTTAGCAGAGCTAGGCCAACTCAAATCCAGGAGCCAGGAAATTCTGGGTCTCCCACATGAGAACAGAAGCCCAGGCATTTGAGCCATTCGTTGCTGCTTTCCAGGCCCATAAACAGGGAGCTGGATAAGAATTGGAGCAGCCAGGACAGACTAGCCTTAATATGAGATACCAGCTCTGCTGTTTAATATTTAGCCTGCACCACAGTGTTGGCCCCTTAATCTCTTCTTAACCCTAGCTTACTTTCTTGAAACCAGTATTTTTTTTCCTAAGATTTACTCATTTTTATTTGAAAGGAAGATTCACCAAGAGAAGCAGACACAGGAAGATCCACACAGAGAGACAAAGATCTTTCATTCCTTAATTGCTCCAATGGCCAGAGCTGAGCCAATCTAAACTCAGGAGCCAGGAACCTCCTCCAGGTCTCCCATATGGCTGCAGGGACACAAACTTTGAGCCATCCTCCACTGCTTTCCAAGGCCATAAGCAGTGAGCTAGATTGGAAATGGAATAGCCTGGATATGAACAACAGCCTATATGGGACGCTGGCACTGCAAGTAGAGGATTAGTCTGTTATATCATTGTGACAACAGTAGGTTTTTGTTTTTGTTTTGTTTTGTTTTGTTTTGTTTTGTTTTGTTTTGCCTATTTGGTTGGTTGTTTTGTGTATGTGTATGTCTGTGTGTGTGTTTGTATTTGCTTTTATATAAAATGTTTTATTTGAGAGCAAGTGATGGAAGACAGCGTACACCACACAGAGAGGGATGGAGAGAGAGAAATGGGTGGAGAAATATCCATTTCCCAGTTTATTCTGCAAATGCCTGCAATGGCCTGGAGCATTTGGAGAAAGCTAGCACTAGGAACTTGATTTAGGTCTTCCACGTAGGTATCAGTCATTACTTGAGCCATCACACATTGCCTCCTAGGAACTACATTAGAAGGAAGCTGAACACCAGAAAGGAGATAGCCCTGTAACTCGAGTACTCTGACTGGGGAAGCAGGTGCCCAACAGCTACAGCGAGTTTTCAAAATGTATCTTCAGGAATACTAGTTGAAATTTGAGAGCTGCCATGGTG